ATCACTAGTATATACTGTATATACATGCGTTACACGACAGATTTTTTAGGTCATTCGCCCAGAACGACAGCAATGAGAGAAAAATTCTCGGCATATGTTTATTGAAACCTTGGATTTAATAATTATTACTTTCTGAAGTATCTTCTGAAGTCGTCATCTGCATAAATCTTTTACGATGCAGCTGTTACATATTTTGTGTAATTTATGTGTTATATTCTGGAAATTTTATTCATTTGTGCGTCGCACATGGAAAATATCAGCATGCAAAATAAATCTGGCTTGATTTATGCATATACAGTACAAAGTATACAGTATATATATGCATCAATTGGCTTTCATCTATATATAGTATTTGTATATTCAGCATTCACTGATGAACGCCGAGAAATTCCCAGCAATTTTGTTTTTGCCTGCCAAAACAAGCAAGAGAAATTAATCGAGGCAGGCAGCAGATATATTTCCGCCCTGCTTACGTATACTCGTATATATACTTACTGTATATATTTGGAATGTACCTTCAATCCTTCTTTTTTTCAGGTGTTGAAAAAACAGGAAAATTTTGTAGGTGTTCGAAATTGTTTTGTTTTTTTAGGAAGCGCTATTGGATTCCAAAAACAACTTTCCTGCACATACTGTATTCGTATGCAACTGAAAGTCTGTACAGTACATGGCAGTAATCCCCCTTTTTTCTGGAAGATGACTTGAGGATTTTCAAGTTTTTGCTGGGTGTATATGAAGCTGATCCCTAAATATTAGGTGTCGTTTTAAATCAGGCCACTGTTGATGCATAAACAATAAATACATATCCATACATATGTAACGTTTCTTTAAAATAAAAATCAACCTGGTATAATTAAATAATTCCTGCATGGACAATTTCTCAATAAGCATCAATAGGAATTCTTACATTAATTTTCTCAGTAATCTTTCGTCAGATATTAAAATCGATATTTCTTCTAGTTCAATAGATATTCTCACTCGAATTAATTCCTCCAAAAATTTTTCTGCAAGTTTTATAAACAGTAATCTTCTGCAAATGCAAAATTGGCTAATACAGCTTGAGTGGTATTCGGTGTGTACGTTTACAAGCGTGTTTACGGTTCGGTAGTCATGTACTCCAAACTCGTTTGAGGTACAGTAAGGGCCCCCTATCGGAGCCCTTAAGGGCGACACCTATCTCACCTACTTGAAACGCTTTTTATGCATTCGCATTACCCACCCGGATGTATCCCATGTGAGATGCTTATCTTGATTGGAGGAGACGCGATGAGGTTCCTGTCCAGAGAAGGGCACTCGAATTCTGACTCTTGACAAAGAAGGTTCTAGTTTTGATGATCTGACTTTGTGATTGTGATTGTGTTCGTGTCATGTGCGGAGTAGGACTTTATTAAACTCTGCTTGATTCGCAACGCTGGACGAAGACTCATTTATTAAACCTTACTGTACAGTATTCGGTGGGTCAACGCCGAACATCGGATGTCCCAGTCTGTCAAGTGAAAGTGTGGCGAAAGCAGGTTGAGCTGTGAAGCTGTAATTCCTGTAAGGTCCGCCTTAGTAGTGCGAAATTACTTTTAGTAGTGCACTGGACGGAATTCATAACTCGTATGCCTAGTCTTGATTGCGTTGTCGTGTAGTTTGCGATTTTATGAAATGTGATGGAGTTTTGCCGGAACGGAATGTTGTGGTGTACAATTGAAAAATATGCTTTTCAATTATCCTTTGGTTTTATCGTTCAAAATGTGTGTTTCTCTCCGCCCGTATTTTGATTCGGTTTAGGGTCGTTGCCTGGAAGGCAGGGAGCGGGGTCTCCGCGAGTTGATCGACGAAATTGAGTGCTTCGAACGTTTGAAGAAGTTAAAAGTTCGTTGAAAATTTTGATCATGGCTCGCGGGCAGCAGAAGATTCAGTCGCAGCAAAAGGCCGCTGAGAAGGCGGCGAAACTTAAGAAACAGCAAGGCCACGGATTGAGTGATCAGGCGAAGGCGGCGCAGAAGGCACTGATTCACACTTGTAGTGTCTGCAAAGTAAGTCGTTTTTACGATTGCATTACAGCTCGAAAATCAATTCTGAATTTTCATTCACAGTCTCAAATGCCGGATCCCAAAACTTACCGACAACATTTCGAAAACAAGCATCCAAAAAATGCTCTTCCCGACGATTTGAAGGATGTTGTAGCGTGAATTAAAGACAAGTTATTACTTCATTCGCAGATTATCCTGTCTCGATTATATTTTTGCATCACTTCTCGCAGCAAGTTTCTTCCGTTCGAGCGCAAAGTATAAATTCTTCCTGTTTCAGTTTCACGAGCGTTTTGTGTTGGTTTTCCTTGCCCTGATTCCTGATGTTTTGTACGATCTTGTGTGTTGTCCCGGGTTGTGTGGAATGAACCATTGACAGACGGAATGAAGAACGATTACATGCGACTCACTTTCATAAGGAAACCCGGATCATATTCGAGCGTTATTCTTCAGATACAATGAGTGATTCGGAATCAGACGCCGACTCGTCGTCTTGGGTTGAAGTTGAAACGGCGGAAGAGCGTCCCGTTTTGTGCCTCTTCTGTCCCGACGAATTTTCTTGTTGTTCGACACTTTGGCACCATGTTGCTGAAGAGCATGGCTTCAACATTCGTGAAAACGTCAAGTCTTTTGGACTTGATGAATTTGGCTACATCAGAATGATCAACTACATCCGGAAATGTAATCCATCTTCCGGTGAAAAGCTGAGTCCAGAGGATTGGATTAGCGATGAATTCCTCGTTCCAGTGCTGACGGATGACCCACTTCTTTCATACGGTGAGGATACTCATTTTATTTGGATACCTTCTGATTTGAAAACATTCATTTCAAGTACAGTAAGTGTAATCAGTTTATCACTATTTTCACAGATATCGAAGACCCTGGTGAAGACAACGGTGGAGGTAAGAGCATATTTTTTTATACAGTTAGTGCGTGTTGAAACTTTTTTGAAGAAAAGCTCCCGAAACCAATTTTTATTTACACTTCGTCATCTTTCGCAGTGTTTCTGGAGTATCGATAAAGTAAATTGAAATAATCCCACCAGTACTACAATGTCGCGTAATTAGCGTGCTTTTTGTTGAAACTGATCGGCTGAATAGTATTTGTAAACGCAGTGTTCTTGATTTGATAAGGGTTTATTTTATCGGTTTACCTCCCAAATCATGTCATACCTCGAAATCTAGAGAGGAGCTGCATAACAAAAATCCTATTATGTGAAATGACGCACCCTGGGTGCGTCTTTCGTCGAAAGTGTAGAATTGTCAGTGGGTTCATCTTCAGAAGGCGATCAGAGAATGGATCCGAGTGCAGAAGAAGTAATCCGTGGAAAGGACATGCTTATTGGGAATCTTTTGCGCGACATTGGTGTGATGCGCACGACGTTTCAGTCAGTTGTGCTTGAAGGAGGCGACGATTTACCTGGTGCCAAAAAAGAACGCGAACGAAGGTGCCAAGGCGCATGGGATGACGGCTACTTCAGTGCCTATGGACATCATTCAATTCATCAGGAAATGTTGCAAGATAGGTAAGGAAAATTGACTTCTAATTTGGGGGAAATGTAAGATTCTTTGGGGTTGATGAATGGTGGGATTTTTGTATGACGCACGTTTTACAGATAAGTACTCGTAGTTAGTTCGGACGCAAAATGTCCGAGCTTTCTTGGATTTTCAGCCCGCGAAAAGATTCCTTCGACTTTTGCAAAGCTATATTTATCGAGAATGTTTTCAGGGTACGAACCGGCAGCTACAGAGACGCCATTTTGAAAAACAAAGACCTGATAGCTGGCAAAAAAGTCCTGGACCTGGGTTGCGGAACCGGCATCCTTTCGATGTTCTGCGTGCAGGCCGATGCGGCTCAGGTTATCGGAGTTGACAATGCAGAGGTTATCGTAAACACTTACGACATTGTACGGGAGAACAACATGGAGAAGCACATCAAGTTGATACGTGGAGCGATCGAGGATCTGGGCCACGAGGCAGTTCTCAAGGATGTGGACGTGATCGTATCTGAATGGATGGGATACTTTTTATTGTTCGAGGGCATGTTGAAAAGCGTCATGTTCGCCCGTGATAATTACCTAAAGCCGGGAGGCCTCATCTTGCCGAACAGGTGAGTTTGTAGCACTGGTTTCCGATGTGTGCCGTACTTGTTGGGCCCTGAGGGCTTCATGGCTGATCCATGAAAAAAAATGATGAAAACGAACGGGGTATTTAAATATTTGTGCTCAGAATCATTGAGAAGAATTAAATCTACGTATTTCAACTTATCTTTCACTATCTCCTTGTCAAATATGTGAGCCTTGCTAACTTGAAGATTTTAACCTGGAAATTATTCAGGGAACACCATAATTTTGGGTAACATTAATGTAGCTGTGAAGTAAATCGAAAAATTCTGAGCTTCTGACTCCCAAAATTGAAATTCGGTTTTTTTTCGACAAGACGCGATTCTCAAGTTTCTTTGTACTGTCGAACCTCGAGAAACCAGAAAAAAAAATCGAGTTAGGGAAACAAGCATTTTTGGTAACAAGCATTTGGGGAAAAGAAAGAAGAATTGCAGGAAATCGTAATTGGGGATATTCTGGACCTTGAATTGCTTTTCAAATTAATTCACAGAATGCTGAACTTTGAGGCAATGGCTCATTTGCCCCATTACTCTTTCAATTCTTACAAAGCTCATCAAGTAACATATTTTCATCTTTTCTGTATCGATAAAATAAAAGCCAAGAGGCCTCCGGAAAAGTTGAATTATGAAGGATTGAGGGGGAAAGCATTCCAGTTTGGGATTTGTAATACAGTACATTGTTTCCGAGGGGATTCAGGGAGGGACTTGAAAAAATTCGACGGAGGGAGGTACAGTATTTGATTCAATTAGATTCGAGTAATCAAGGTTCAAATTTAAATAAAATATACAAGCCACCAGTTGCGTTTAATTGATGGTGAATCACAAACGCCAATTACAGCTGACGCCTGGAGATATGCAAGCGAGAAATCAATACATGGTTACAAAGTGTTTAACCAGCCAAGTGAACTAAACAAAAAACCTTGCTGACGCGTTGTTAACAAGAGCTCTTGTTTGTCTAAACAAAAGTGTTCTGTTACGATTCTCAAATTAGGTGCGACTTATACATCGCGGCCGTGTCGGATAGGCAGCAGTTCGACCGCAACGTCAATATGTGGGACGATGTGTACGGCTTCAAGATGACTTCCATGAAAAACGACTATCTGAAGGAGGTTTCCGTGGAAGTTGTGCGTTCGGAGAACGTGGTTGCCGAACCGATCCTGCTCAAGTCGTTCGATTTGAACACGTGCTCTCAGTCGGACTTGTGTGTGGAGACCAAGTTCGAGTTTGTGATCAATCGCAAATGCGAACTGACGTGTTTGGCGGGGTATTTCGATGCGGTTTTTGATCTTCCTGTTCCTGTGACTCTGGGAACCGGGCCAGCCAATGAGCCGACACACTGGAAACAAGCAATTTTTTACCTCCGTCAGCCGATGCCTGTTGCCGAAGGTAAGTCATTTATGCCTGGTCGAATTAACGAAATTAATTGCCCTCATCGCCCAATTTTCAATTGCAATTTTTAATTTAGGCGACACGATCGTCGAAGTAATTTTCGAGGACGAAGACGATGGCTAATCTAATTCTCGGAGAGAAGTGAAAATTATGCTACGGTTGATGTGAAGGATCAGGAATATCTGTGGATTGAAACTGTCGTTTTAGAGAACCTTAATTTAGAAGCTATAATTAAATTCTACCGGAAACCTTACTTTCTTGAAATTATGAAAGGATTCGATACTGGATTGCCTGGTGTCGTGTAGCAGTTACTAATGACTAATTGTGAGATAACGACGGTACATCTGAAATATATTTCCCGTAGTTTTTCTTCCTATTTTTGAAATGTCAAGCCTCTTCACGGGAAATTGAACTTCGAAACTCCGTGCCTGATTTCTCGTTGCGTTAAGGACTGCAACGAATGCTCAAAAACAAATCGTAGTCCATTTTATGGAGGAGAAAATTGTATCCTATTTTAAGGAAACGTCGAAATTGTGTCATAAATCTAGTTTTTTTCCTATTTTAATCGGGAGGGGTTTGCGAAGAATTCCCGGCATGCTCCAAAGTCGTAGTACTAGATCAGTGCCCGTCCATGATTAGCTACGAAAACGGTCATCAGCCATAATTTTATTGATGTTATTTTGTAGTGATTTATTTCTTACTGGGTGGTATTTTTTATTTCTAGGGGAAAAGGTATCAGGTGTGATGAAATTTTATCCTCGGCCGGAGGACCGGCGAGCTTACGGAGTGTCAATCCAGTTGCGGGACCTGGTGCTGAAGAAAGTCATTCACTGAAATACACCTCGCAGTGGAATTTTCCGTTTTCCATTTTTTCTTGGTGCTTTTTTTTTTTAAAGTATTCCATCCGCATGAAGTGGTGTTTTGCTAGTATCTCGAAAACTTTTTTTTTTTTGCGGGTTTCGAAACCGTAATTTTGCCTGGCATTTTAGAATAGTTTTTCTCGAAAATTTTGATCTCAATTGAAACGCTCGGATGGATATTCGCACTTCGTAAGAAAGAAAAGCTTTCATTTCGGATTTGATGGAGACTGATTATTCATTCCCCCAGGTTCAAAGTGCATTTAATCGTTGACGTGAAAGCGAGACTTTTAATTCTTCAAATTTGACAAAAATGATGTCTCAAGTGCGCCAGAACTTTCATGAGGAATGCGAGGCCGGTATTAATAAGCAGATCAACTGGGAACTGTATGCCAGCTACGTCTATCTGTCGATGGTAATTATAGAATTCTTGAAATCCGCTGACGATGAGTAAATTCATGTGTCTTTCTGGAATGATCTCCAGTCTTCGTACTTCAGCCGTGATGACGTCGCAATGCCGGGATTGGCCAAGTTTTTCAAGAAATCCTCGGACGAGGAGCGTGAGCACGCTACCAAGTTCATCGAATATCAGAACAAGCGTGGCGGTCGCGTCGTTCTGAACCACATTGAGAAACCGTCTCAGGATGAATGGGGCAATGCGCTTGATGCCATGACCGCTGCTCTGGATTTGGAGAAGACTGTCAACCAGGTTAGTCTTGATGTAGATCTTATCTTTGGGATTTAGTAGCCGATTCGTTCCTGTATCAGTTCGATTTTCTCGCCACCAGAGTTAATTAGACCAAACCGGCTTATTGGTACTTTTGCAGCGCGTGTTGATATTTTCATGTTGCACTCCCGATTGAGGAATGTTTGAATCTGGAAAACGCAGTGTGGTAGGAGAAAAGGGAGGAATTTCAATGCATAATTAGAAAGGAACGTATTTGTCCTGCTCATGTGAAATTCTGTGCAAGAGATGTCTAAACGCTGCGTGAAGTACAATTTTTCACTGATCGCACTGTATTCAGAGCAAAAGTGAGGCAATTTAAAGGTTGAAACGAATTTATTGGTCAATTTTTCTTCCGAATTTTTTTTTTTTATATTTTATTCTGCTCACCTGATTCTAGATAAAATAAGAATTTGTTCCCGGTGCATCGATCAATACCTTTTCCATTCCCTTATGATTTCAGTTATTTTGATTGATTCCTGCGAAGTTACAATGTAATCTGGTTTCGAAAAAATTGACCAAAAATGTCTGTAGCACTGCCGCTTAAATTTCAAATGGTCAAAAACTCACACGTGGCACTTTCAAATTTTGAGAAACGAAAAGAATCAATTCAGAATGTCAAATTCAATTCAAAAGCATTTTAAAATCATGATTGACAAGAATTTACTTTGTAATGGTGGAATACATCCTGATGCAGTGACTATCTATCCATTTTTGTAATATAGAATGTCAGCTTTTTATAATTAATTTTTTGCTACGAAATTTAATGCAGAAAAAATTTCTTTGTGATGTTCTTATAGTACAGCCACAATATTATCTAAGTCTCGATATGAAGAAGCTTTAGCTATACCGAACGTGTCTTCAATTTTCTGCTTTACGAAGATTCCAGAATTAATTATCACCAGTGTTACATATTTTCCGATCCCGAAGTGAAACATCAGTCTCTCTCCCGTTTCAAATTTCACAATTTTAGAATAGTGATGATGCAATGATTAATTGATGGGAGATTATAATTTGTCGAATTTTTGCTTCTGTATACTTTTCCATTACGTTAATGACATTCATTTCTTTTAGTCACTCCTGGATTTGGTCGGAGTCGCAGATAAGCACAACGACGCCCAGCTTGGCGATTTCCTGGAAAGCGAATACTTGTGTGAACAAGTGGAGGCTCAAAAGGAGTTGGGTGACTACATCACTCAATTGAAACGCGTTGGATCTGGAATTGGCGAATGGCAATTTGACCAGATGCTGCTGCACGCGGAATAAGGTATCGGAAATGTTTGACACGGATGCCTTTTGCGGGTTACTTCATGGCGGACGATTTCGATAAAAGGAAATATTGTTGACGATGCGATATTCATTCCGCTGAACCGGGTAATCAGTTTTAGTTCTAGTCGTCGTATGACCGACCGTTCACACAATGAGACTCTTCCGGGATATTGACAAGCCGAATGTTTTTTCAAGAGAGGTTTTTTGGTAATATTTGACAGTCCACCGTTTATCATTTCTGGTCGTTTTTAATTCATGTTTCAATCGATCCGCTTTGAAGTTGCCCATCAGGCTGTAGTGGAGCAGGAAAAAAAGACGAAAAACTGACGAATCCAGTAAAAGCTGTTTCCCAGCCATCAGACGAGATCTTCTTAAAAACGCTTCGGGTCATTGGTAGCTCAATACTGTTTTTCTTGAAGAAAGAAAAGGAGAGAGAGAAGGAGCGTTGTGTCAAAATGGGTTAAAAATTCTTTTTAGTACATCTGTTTGGGGGGAAGTTCCTTGTGGAACTTTTGTTTTTGTCTGTTCGCTTCTTTTTTGCGGTGTTGAAAAAGTTTTGAAATACATTTGGGACTGTGGTTGGGACTCCCTGATTTTTCTCGTTTGTCCAGTGTTCTGTTTTGACTTTTTTCTTGTGTGCTGCTCGTGGTTTGAAGGCGTTCGTTTTTTTCGGCTTGGTCTACTCGCATTTCTTTTGGAATGCTGCAAAAAATTGTAACCTCGTTGAGTGATGGGAAAGCGGTGCATTAAACGAAAGGTTTCCGAAATGAATGCTGAAGTCGTAATCATGGTTTCTAGAGAACCGCCTCTGCGAAAAAAATCAGAATAGTTTCAACCTGTTTTCCCTTTTCGTTCTACGTTTAAGTTGAATAATTTTCAAGTTTTGAGGATTCTGTAAATTTGAATACTGTACTAGATCCTCTTGGCCGGACTATTGAGCGCCTCCCAAATCAACGCGCGCGAAAAACTGAGCAACTCGTCGCTATTCGTAACAATTCCATGATGTCTAGAAAATTCCACAGTTTATAGTTTAATTATTCGTCTTGAAAAACTTATGAAAAAGGAATGAAGTATTCGTGAGTAAATCGTCAAAAGTAAATCCCGTTTTCAGCGCCTGTAAATCACGAGCGGTACGCATTTGTCTTCCGTGTTTGCATTGTTTTGAGCGAAGCTATTTTTCACTGTCATCGGCGTAAGCCTTCTAAGGACACGTTCGATTGTCCTGTGGAATTCAATATATTCCAGGAAAAAATGTTCAGCCTTTCTGGTCCCTTTGCTTCTGTCCATTCAAGTTAAAAAAAAATCAGTAAGCATTCAAAAACAGTCCACAATCACGTTGTGGTCCGTTAGTTCACAAGCTTGACTGGTTTAAAGTTTTGATGTATTCCTGTGGATAAAAAAATTCAAAGATCTGAAAAGAAATAAATAGCTTTGAATTTCATGAAGCCTTTTAGCTCAATTCTTGTTTCAGTCATGAGAGGAAAAAATATGGCACGAACTCAATTCAATCTAAATCTGTGCGAACTACGTATTCTGAAAGAACTATGAATGATTCTCAAAGAATTGACTGATCATCCAAACCTCCTTTTTTCGGAATTTGGTATCTGGTATACTTCACGTCTCCTTTTTTGTCGGTTGAAAATTGTCCGTGGTATTCAAATATTCGGGCAGAAACATTTTTCCAAACTTGCCCTTTTGCACAAGTAAAAATGAAATAATTCAGGTTTGACCTTATGCGCACGAATATCGAAGTGCTGAATCGCATTCGCTTGTGATAACTGTTCATTCCTAATGTATTTGCTGTTGCTTGAATATTAATTGCTACTATCGAACCCCCTGCGGCTTTCATTTCCATACAATGCAAATGCGTTCGGACACAGTTGATATATATTCCCCCCCCCCCCCCGGTTAAACGGAAATTCTCTCTTGTACTTGCTGGAACCTTTTTGTCGCGGGAAATGAAAAAATCTAACCCTGGTCAGGTTCTTTTTTTTTTTAGTTTGTCGAGGTGGGAAAGCCATTCCGATGGGGGATCGCGTTGCGTTGTGTTCCGACCGCCAGTTGCTAGCGTGAGTCGCGTATGTGTGGATGCGGGAAAATGACTCCGCTTTCTTTAGTGTCGTGGCGAATCTTGTGTCTCAAAGTACTGCTCGTCTTCAGTTCAACCAGTGCAAGACCGCATTGCTGCGGGCCGAGGGATGGAGCTGTACCCGATTCTGCGGTAAGTCGAAGTAAAAGAATTTATACGGTACATACATGTTGAAGAAGCTTATTCAAGTTTGTGCCTGTTGATCCTGAATAACTTCTGCTAAATGGCCTCATCTGTCTTTATTACAGTCCCCGTTAAGCCGTCCCCCCCCCCCCCTGATATGCCGCCACCCTCGGCAACCGCCGATTTATTTTGAAGAACAAATTTTCCCTAATGAATATGGCATTGGAAACCCCATTGAAACGCCATCCAACGAAATTATTGACAACGCAAGTGTTCTCCTGTAGATTAATTTTGTTCTCGATAGCCCGCCAACAAGATTCAAGTTTCCGTGGGAGGTCTCCAATTAAAAAAAAAGGATGACATAATGTACTTCTTGAGAACTAGATATAATTTACGCACCCCAGGGTTATTTTAATTTTTTCTAAAAGAAGAACTTTATTTTTAATTATAATTAATTTTCAAATCATTTGGGCTTTTTTGTATAAATCAACAGCATCCTTTACCGCTCAAACAAATGGTGGCGGTTTATCGAGGATTGACTGTATTTTTATTATTGTGCGCCAAAAGTGGACTGATTGTCTGGTTTTTTTCGGCGGAGCCGCTAATAGTACCGATTGACACAGATGCGAAAAAAGAAATAATTACCTGCATGCGTTTTATTTATTTTTTTTGGTTGACGAAAATGCACGCGTTTTTATTGTTGGGGAAGCGAGAACAATTTAATTACCCCCGGAATTTTCATGATGTGAATAAGTTATATTTTCTTTGATCTGAAACGAGAAAACTGAGTTCTTCTAATCTTTTCCTTTTGTATTTATAAAAAAAACGGAAATGTCGCCTATTCAATTAAAAGTAGTTATTCGGTGCCCTTTTGTGCTTCGAAGATAACACTGAGATTACGTTATACGGGTGGACTCTCTGCAACGATTTCTTTTTTATCCGGAAGGGTTTCTCCCCATGTCATACGAGGTTCTCTACAACGAAATTCTCTTTACAAAAATTTTCTTTCTGGTCTCTTGCATTTTGTAGTAGAAAGAGTCCACTTGTAATAAATTTATCCTACGTGATTTTCTGTGCTTCGAAGAAAACTTGCTAATATTTTTGTTTCTCGAAAGAAAGAATACTGTACCGTAATTTCCCATGTTTTTTGTTCCTTGCGCAATTCACTGAATTTTTGTGAGCGAAAGTCTCCTCTCTTGTTTTTTTTCTTCTTCGCTGTGACAACGACGAGGTAATTTCGACTGTCGTAGTGAAAGAATAATTATTCCCTCTGTGTTCTTCGAAAATACAGCACATTACACAATCTTTTCTTCATTGTAGACTAAATACGGAATCGTAATTGCAGTATTTCCCGTGAAGAAAATATGAGTACGGTATTCCCTGTGGTATTTTGTGTCTTGAAGAAGGCGCTGAAACTTTGTGTGATCAATTTTAAAATACAGTACTATAATTATTCAAATCATGTGTTTTTAAAAGCATTTCTTGTTTTAAAATCGAATCAGAAAAAGTACTAATTATTCCCGAAGTTAATCTGCGCTGTGATGCAAGCGCTGAAATTTGTTATTGCGGGACAAGAACGCTAATTTCCTATTTCTCCTGTTCGGTTATGTAAACGCAGAAATTTCGTTCATTGAGCAAGAAAATAGTTTTCTTATTATATATTTTTGCGTTTTGAACACTGAAATCACGCTTATCGGTGAGGAAGACGATGATTTCCCCGTGTTTTCCGGTACTTCGGAAACGCTGCATTTTGTTTACTGAAACGTTGCCAAATTTTCCCGTTTCTGAAGAAAAACGCGAAGTGCATTTTTCACACCGTTTCGTTTTGGATTAGTCGTATTTGAAGGAACAAGCTTTCTATTGTCATTCGAGGTACAGTATTTGATATTTCTTTGGTGAAGTAAATTTAATCTTAATGAAGCGTAGCGGAAACATATTTTTTTCCTCACAAATTCCCATTCGTCCTCACTAATTTCGATGATGACTCATCTTAGATCTTTGTCAATTCTTCCCGTCATGGAAATGTGAAGTGACGAAAATGGAACCCCATGTAATTTCAACAAAGTGAAGTTTTCTTGCTCTCAGGGAATAATTTTGGAATTGAATCATTCAATTTTTTGTACAGTACCTGTATTAGTTATGTTCGGATGTTGAAAAAAAAACTCCTAATGATTTTCTCAGCTGTTCATTAATGCGTGATATCGTATCTAAATGTGTTTTCTCATCATAATTGTGAACCTTGCCAAAAGGAGGAAAAAAAAAACTTGGAAAACTTTCCCGCGTACCCGAAATTGGTTTTTGTAGAGCTATTCATTTTATTCAACACAAGTATATTTTATCAGCATTCAGTCCAGTATAAATTCTTGGTTCCTGCTTCTTATTGGAACTTATTCATCTTTTTATCTTTCATGATTTAAATGGTAAATTTCGGAATTTTCTCGATAATATTTAGTCAATTTAATGGGACGCTCAGATTATGAAGGTTTAAATTAATTAGTGAGTACTAGTAGATGCGTTTTGTTAGACAGGTATTATTAAGACGGGACAGCTGTAGAAAAAATGTCAGTTTTTTTAACTTTCACATCAGTTCGCTTGCCCGAGGATGATTGTGAATTAAGAAATCCGTTCAATTTTCCCACTTGAAGGTCGGAGATTGATTTCATGATCACGTGCGTTTAATTATTCCTTGTCAATTTCGCCAAAAAAGTGTGGACTCGTGAACCCGGCTTGCATGAGTCATACCCAGATCATCACAAAGATACCCCGAGTAAAGGTCGGAGATTGATTTCATGATCACGTGCGTTTAATTATTCCTTGTCAATTTCGCCAAAAAAGTGTGGACTCGTGAACCCGGCTTGCATGAGTCATACCCAGATCATCACAAAGATACCCCGAGTGTCAACGACGGGTTGTTCACTCACCCGTTCCTGTGACATATGGTTTAATTATTCCCGTGGGAAACACGTTTCGGTTATTACGGTACCTCTGACGTGGTTTTATTTTGTTGTGGCTTCCTCTTGATTAATTCGAGCCGAATTCTTTTTTTCTTTTTTTTTTCGCAGCAACACTATTTGATGACGTTCGGATATTTACCTCAGTCTGATTTCGAGATCGGGAACCTTAGGACGGAAGAAGAATTGATAAATGCCATCAAGGAAATGCAGGTGAGTGAATTTCTTCTATTTACTCCAATTCGATTGGAAAGTATCGCTTGAGGGATTGGATTCTCCGTCCCATTGCTTGATGATCATTGCTCCAGAAAATGCTTCGTTTCATAACTTTCATAATATCTTTGAATTTGTATACAAGGCACCAACATTCTTCGGGGCCGTTAACGTCGGAATTTGAATTTTTGAAGCATTGTTCTTTTTTTTTTTAGAATTTTGTGAGTCGGTTTCTTTGGGTCAAGTTGCCTTTCAATCAGCATTTTAATTTTGAAACTGTGTGCATGAAAAAAAATGAAGACAATCTTCGACTCCAACTTGCCTTTGTAATCAGCATTTTTGAGAAAGAGTCAAAAATGGCCCGCGAAAAATATAGTAAGCGTTTCCTAATGATAAACATTTGCCTATGACTTGTCATGTATTGTATCATCATTGATATTTTTTTGGGAAGGTGCAGCAATGACAATGAGCAACAATTATGACTGGTGCTTTTGAACACGGCTTTGTAATCGTCATTTTTTATGAAGACTTTCTTTTAAAAAGGCTACAGTAGTGATATTTACGTTACAGTGCAATAGTTTCTGTTTATGGTACTACAGTACGTATATTTTTCTGATAATTTCACTCATTTGAAAAAAATCCCCCTTGTGAAAAGTTTCCCCATGTGTTTTTCCCGTCTACCCTTTTTGGTCCATCCCGTACTTTTTGTGAATCATTGTTGCAAGGGGATGGCCTCTGACTCACTTACGGGAAAAACCCTCCCACGTGAAAATGACTAAAGCTCGGGATGTGGAATAAAAAGCCTCTTTGGGTGGGGTGTTTCTCTCTCTCTCTTTTTCTCTGTTAGACATTCGCTGGAATTCCGGCAACTGGGAAAATCGATGAGAAGACGTTGAAATTGATGCACACTCCACGTTGCGGTTTGCCGGACGTGGACAAGTCGTTCGGAGGTGATAGAACGCGACCCAAGCGCTATTTGCTGCAAGGACAACGATGGCCACGCACGGCGTTGACTTGGACGTGAGTTGAATACGGCATATTCTGTGAAAAATATAATAAATTGTGAGGGAAGAGAGAAAGGATGGTTTTATGTTCCGTCACAGTTGTAGGAATTTCCGGAAGGAGTTGACTGTGTTTTTTTTTATGACTTATCTCTGGCAATTAATTCGGAAAACAAAAGGGGAGATTGTTTTTGTGTCGGTGAAACGGAAATAATCGTACGTGCAGCTGCTCCTGATGGAATTCCATGCGTCTCTAAATGAATAAAAAATATTTCGAGGGCAATCGGCCTTGATTAGTTGCTGTAGAATTTTAATTTTTTTATAGATGACATTTCATCATATCAGTGGAGGAAGAAAATCAAGTACTGTAAATATGATCGGAATACAGCATTAATTTATCTTGCTTATCTGATGGGTTTATCAGGAATGGTTCATTTTTTCAGCTTTCTGTAATTCAGGAAGAAAATCTCGTTCCTTCCACATTTTAATGCAGT